ATCCAATATTTTCCAGTGTTCGTCTTATCCAACTGAGTATAATGTCTGAGTCAGAGAGAATGAATATTTCTTCAATTTTCAATATCTTTCGAAGTTGAGTCATTACAGCGTTGTCAAACGAAGTGTCAAGTAGACGCAGCTGTCGAGAGCCTCTGTGATAGCGTCGGCAAAGGTAATCAAATTGTAGCTGGTATCCCTTGTTCAAAGGCAGCGGGGTAATGGTTTTGTAAAGCCTTCCATTTCTGTATAAATGTTGATCCATTCTTTACTCCGGGATTCGCGTAGAATATCATCTTAGCTATGCTTGTACTGCGGGTACTTTTTCCATAGGGTACGTAAAATTACTTTTGCTTTATGGAGTAAAGGTACCAAGAAGCCCAGTGCATCGTAAACTGATTCTATTACGCTAGCTATAGTTTGCTTAGTGAGGAATTGATGTGTGCTTGGTAAACACGACATTTGTAAGTAATCGGAATTGCAGTTCCAATGAAATCCTAGTACTTTTGGAAACTTGTAATATCGGATTTGTACTGGAAAGGCATTGTTGTCATTAGAGTACTGTCATTTGCGGCAAGTTCTTGAAGATTCATATTAAGATCCTTGAATATCTGTTTCATACTTAAAGAGACTTGTTTTTCTTGATCCGTGCTGTCGATCGTCAAGATAAGGTTTTCGACACGTAAGTTTTCTTATGATTGTGCAACCAGTTCAGTGTCTAGCTTGTACTGGTCAAATGGTAGTGAATCGTTCCATTCAAAAGAAAGGATATGTTTACTCCGAAGGTCAATCTGGTGGATCGTAAGGTTTATACTTTACTGGATGATGGTAATTACCTGTATTCATGTAACCTGAGGTAGCATGTGGCATCGCGGTCTTGTTTATAGAGTGGAATTTGTAGAAAAGAATTTTCGACATGCGAAGTGATCGCGATCCTCTAAATTCTGAAGCGAAGGAGGTTGCCGAATAACTGGGAAAGGATAAGTGGTCCTCGATGTAAAACATCATTTAGCGATGGAGAATCCTCATAGTGAGCTGATCCATCATTAACTATTCTCATGATGCTTTTTGCAGAGCTATTACCGCTTGATGAGGTTTTAACGAATTCGAGGAGCATGTGCAGATTCGTTTTTATTGATCTGCTCTAGAATTTCCAAACGAAGTTGCTCTTCATATATGCTGCTGTACATATCGAGCATATCTTCGCTATTTTGTAGGGATTTCCAAACGCTTACGAGTCTACTAAGCGCGGTCGTTTTATACCCGTCGTGTCGTATTTCAATGGTGCAAGGAAATATCTCAATCTTGTAGGCCTATCAATGTTTTTGCCCCTTTTGAAAGTTTGAGAACTCTCCTGTTTCTACTGATTCTAAGATCCAAACTTTCTCCCATGTTGCTGTATCCTTATCATCAGCTTCTAATTGTTGGGTGAGGACATTATTAACTTGCACATATAGTGACAAGCATTGGTCCCATTTGTTAATTTCGTTATCGCCCTCCTGTATATGACACGCCTCTTCGCCCTTCCGCTCTTGCGTAATATCGAGGTGTCATTTCTTTATAGTTGCATTTGTGTCGAGATTTTGCTATTTCCTGTATATAAATATGCGAGACGCGTAGGAAGAAGATGTGTAGGCCGGATAGGAAATCAAAATGAGGTTTATCCTTACTTTTGAAAAGCCATTGTTGGTCACATCCGATTAAAATGGAGGCTCGAACCAAAGACTTGTCATTGCTATCTATGTGAATATCGTTCGTCTGAATAATCTAAATCTTTTGGATATATTCTTGGTGATGAAATGGCTTCATGATAGCGTGGTGGGCATAGGGGGTTTACCTGAAGTTAGTGGCCGTCCACGTCCCATACATCGAGTGGGACTTTTCTTGACATATATTCTTGGACGTGACGAAAGCTGAATGTGTTTATATGTAATTTGGTTTCGTCAGATGTGGTAGATGAAGCTCATTTACGGGTTTTTCATCAATAAAAGAAATAGCTTTTGAGTTCAAGCAAACAGAAACTTTTTGCAATTTTTTCTATTTGGATTCAATAAAGTCATTTGTTCCCTAGGTACCACAGTTGACTGTATATTTGTGGTCGACCTTACCAATAGTTTGTTCTCGACAGTCGACTTGTGCCTGATTTGACTTATAATTGAAGTGGAAGGAGGCACTTGATTATTTTTGTTTGATTTCGTTCGACTTCACATCGTTTTTGGGATTGTTTTTCTCTAAAGATATTGGAGACATTTTTTCTTCTGATGCTGAATAGAAACAGCACAATGTGTGGTGCCGTTTGTAGCATTTACAACACGAAGAATCTTTGCATTGCAAAGTAATGTGAGTTGAGGATGCACATATATGGCACAAATTATTATTTTTAAGATATTTGAATCTTCCTTGAGGGGTTGTGTACTGACTGCAGTATAAAAGTTTGTAATTCCCTTTGCAATACATGCAAATGAGTGCCGAGAATGGCTGCTCCGAATACTTGATAAAGGTAGATGAATTGGTTTGATGGTTTATCAGTCCCTCGTTGGTTAAAATCTCCTCGAAGTATTGCAGGAGTTGGTGCATGTTGAAGGGTTTGTCATTTGTGATCTTTTTGTTGAGTGCCTTTCGTTGGGTATTAACAGGAAACTTTGACAACACCTTTCGGCACGTACACTGTAACTATATCTACCTTATACCCAATATCTGTCAGCATGACTGGGTCAATGTCAAGTCCGACTACCCGGGCCAGGAAGTTTGATTTAGTAGACGACTGAAAGAGAATATGGAAAATAGACTGAAATACTGTGGCGCAGTAGAGTATTGAGATTACGGGTGCGATCAAGAGGTCAGTGCACCAGTTGTGCAGATGTTCACCAGGGTTTTAAAACGAAAAGTTTGACTTAACAGGGAATGCACCAGTTGTAGCAGAGGAAGTTTAGTGGAGGTTAAGGTGTTCTCTGAGTTTATCTGATAACGCGGGGCTTTTACTATTTGCTTCAGTATCGAACTCCTCGTAATTGATTATCGTTTATTTCAACAATAACACTACAACATTAGCAATAAGATATATAGGAGGATTTCAAATGGCTTAAACAACAGCATAATAAGTGAGCGACTACCAAGCGGAAGAGAGCCAAAAATTAACCTCCGACTACTTATATTTATTTCATATGGCCCGAGAAGAACAACGCTAAAGCTAATGATTGAGGTACCAGATCAAAATTAGAGAACACACATTCATCAATGGTTCACGTGAAGGGTGCAGTTACCATAACAGGCTCAATTGCGTGGCTGGTTCCTAAGTGCAAAAGAGGGTCATTCGTGTTATGGTAATCACAAGATTGTTTAAGCAATTACAGTCAACATTATCTAAGATGTAACGAACGTCCACCCGTCTTTCGATTCACCGACATAGACTAACGAAAGCGGAGCACATGAAAATAAACCTGATTAGGGCGTATAAGTTGACGCCTACATCTGGGAAGAGACAGACAACATTCTCAATACCATGTAGAATGTTATCTACACCTGCATTCCTCAAGCGAAGATCAAAACAAAGAAAGCCACCAGCTGCTTTCCCTGATCGCTAGCAGGGCTAGCAATACGTTTGTCTACAATTTGTACAATCACACAAAGATGTGATGAATAAATTGAAAATGAAACACCGCTCGCTATACACTTTGGAGTGGACTGAGCATATTGCACTGGAAACAAAAGGCACTCTTCACCGCGAGCTGTTCGCCACCGAGCCGCCTCGCGCGCAACGTGGCGGGCTGGCGCTGCTGGGTCGGCGGTCCCCAATGACTAAGGAGTTCCAAGCAACAGTCAACCCTTTCGGTAACGATTGACGTAGTCTGTACCAACGCGCGCAACGTCGCAACTCGCCTGGCTACTGTAATGCAGTGTCGCATTCAGGGAAAAGCACGTACGCAGAATCTGTTGGATGGTCGCGCCGACTGTCACGCAAGCGATAAACATGTGTTGACGCGTGCTTCCGTATAAATCTGGTAGTTAGTCGATGAACTTATTCCTATTCCTAACTTATTTCAGATATTTGATAAATATTAAAAAACCTACGATTAGCAGTTTTACAATACCCTTACAGGAGAATTTATATCTATTGCAGCATGCAATGTATAACAAGTTCTCACAACAGATGGACAAGCACTTTTCAAAAGAATTTGCAAAACATCATCTTTAATTTGTTCATCGAGAAGTATTAGCGTTGTTTCTACTATCGACAGTCTTAATAAGGTCTCACCAATCTTACGCAATCAATTTCTCATGCTAAATCGATGATTTACTTGCGATACTTCCAAATTCTATCACAAACTACCACATTGTTATTGTAGCTCGCGGCGCGGTCGTGTGCGTACTGAGCAAGATTTCAACATCGTCGTCAAACGGTTAGAAGATTATGGCTGTTGCCGACTCATGAAAAAGCGTGGTCCATGATAAAACCCACTTTGGACCGCAGAGCCTAAGAAACATTAAGTTCATATGTCTACACTGGTCCTCCAAACGCAACGTTGTGCAAATGAGGCCAGCTGGATCCACACCTCAACGACGTCGTGGTTTCTGCGATATCTCCTGAATTATAACAGATATATGAAATCAATACTTAACCAGATTTGCACTTCACACGTTCTTGAATTGAATCTTCAGGATTTAAGAGAAGTATACTCCGAAAGGAAACCGCAGGTTATCTAGGCGCGGTATTAGAAGCAGATTGACGAAGAAAACACTCGAATGAACTTCGAAATTATGTAAGGATCGCTCTAGTCTTACAACAACAAGCTGTGTCATCATTGGCAAACAGTTCGAATGATAAGACCATAACGCAAGCACTATGGTTGAGTGGCTAGCACTGCTCGGCGCAGATCGACGCGCGATGGACCCATTCCCCTCATCTTAATCTTAACAGTCTAAAATCTTTCTATTTTGACTGCCACTTGCAGTGGTATGATCTTATAGTATACCCAATATGTGGAGTACTGTGCAAAAACGTTTGCGTCAGCCGGGATTCAACCCAGATCTTGTTCTTTCCGGGAGCGTATGCTAACCGTTGCACTACCGACGCTCGTTTTGCACAGCATTCTTATTTACGCTACAACGCGTTGTCTGCCAACAGCCAAGCAAGTGGCAGTCAAAATAGAAAGAATTTAGACTCATTATCGATATCCAATGTCTGTCAACACAAGTGGGTTCAATGCCGATAGCGGCTGCCCCGCCAGACCGTCGACAGTTGGCTGTTGGCAGACAACGCGTTGTAGCGTAAATAAGAGTGCTATGCAAAGCGAGCGTCGGTAGTGCAACGGTCAGCATACGCTCCCGGAAAGAGTGAGATCTGGGTTCGAATCCCGGCTGACGCAAACGTTTTTGCACAGTACTCCACATATTAATCTTAACACTCTTCTGCAATCAATGACGAACGCCTACGGGAACGCCTACGGGGCAACCAGCCTGGCTATCCTCGAGATTGCAAGATTAGTTTGATCAGTATTTCACGACGTTCATGAAAATGATGAAATTCTCAAGCAAAGGAGGAGAATTGAATGGTGGAATCCTGGAACCCGCACAGCTGAAACAATACTGTGATATGGTCAAAACAAAGTAACAAAGTAGAGTGAAGTCGGATTTATAGCAGAAGAGTAGTACAAGTCGTGTCGTTATTAGAAAGCAGGAACATAAAAGAACGGCATAGCTATATTGCCACCAATCGACGAAACCTGTGAAATGTTGGTCGGTTGGTGGCTTTTAGTCGTAGTGGTAACGCGCGCCCCGGCATAGATGGAACGCAACAACATGAAAAGAGGCACAAACGCTGTGAAAACAGAAGCGAAAGAGAAGCAAATTTTTTTCAAGGAAATTGAATGATACACCAAATTTCAGTCTCAGGCAGGAGCTGAATCCGCGCTACCCACTACTCCACCGCGGCCATCTTCTAGCCACTACTCGTTCTTCTGTATATCTCTATCATAGCTATCAACCACCAACTTTTAACAGGTTTAACAGGCCATTAAACTCCCTGCCGAGGTCGATTTTTTGCTTCCCACTAAATCTTAGTAGGAGTATTTGGATCACCACAGCACTGCAAAAACCACTATATACATAACATATTTTAGGTATTACATATCGATACCATACGTGGTACTCAAGATATTGAGCTATAAGCCATACGTACCCTTCCCCGTGTGCCTTATCTACCCAAACTTTAGCTTCTTGGTCCTGAGCTTACAAGTGATGATCTTCAAAGTCGTCAGCTTCTTTATTGCAAACAATTTTCAAGTTTCAGAACAGCTGGACTGATTAACCATATCTTTTTTTAAGAAAATATGGAAAAAGAAAATATACATCAGACTGATCCTTTCTATTGTATGCCTTTGTCCTAATCAGAAAAGCGTAGAAAGAATGGTGTCAAAACAGGCGTGGGGGTGCAAGGTATAGTGCACGCGTCCTCATGTTCTGCGTATCACTTTAATCATTGGGTATAACTTAACATCATACCACCACTAGAAGCGGTAAAATAAAAGGATTTATTCATAATCAGAAAGCCTGGAAAAGACTACAATAGACATAATTAGATGAAATGCGGTCTAAAGAAGGAATAGAACGAATACTAGATCATATAATTTCTCCAAAACATACGAAATAAAGGCAGAAAAACAAACAAAATAAACTTAAGGAGATTCTCAAAAGATATAAATATAATCTGGAATTGCAACTGCATAATCTACCCTAACGGCACGGAGAGCGTATCTTTGCTATGTTGTATCAAAGTCAACATGCTTTGCAGTAATCTAGATTTTATATTCAAAGAAAAGGCTGTTGGAATAGGGTTATCACACAAATACTAACACAAGTCGAGATTATAGAGAATGATTAGTTAGCTAATATTGTTGGAAACGGGTCAATATCTGAAGGGGCTCAAAATCTTCTTTTTACTGCTTTTTTCGCAGTGCTGTAGTGTTCCAAACATACCTAAGAGAACTGTATGCATGTGTATGTGGTGTGCAAAAGTTTGGTCTCAGCCGGAACCTAAACTAGCGTTTCACTCATACCGAGTGCGCATATTACCACTAAACTACTGAGACGCCGTTCGGCCACCACTCATTGAATATCTCTATCACAACTGCATTTACGAGCTGTAACAGATCTGGTCGGCCAAGAACGTATCGCTATATAAATCTAATTTAGCTAACAATCATTCTGACTATCTTAAAAGATTTCTTATGTGTTTACTGCTTCTCTGGCAATACTAAACAATGTTTAAGTGTAATATTCCAAATTCACCTGTCAAATTTTAATGGCTGTCAGCCATGATTGAGATTTTGAATGAGTGGTAGCGGAATGGTGACTCAGTAGTTTAGTGGTAATACACGCACCGGCTATACGTGAAACACCGGTTCAACTCCAGCCAGAGGTCAGATTTCCGTATACCAGTCAATTCTTAAAATGTGTTTGATAGATTATAGCATTGAAAAAAAGGCATTAAAAAAAAGATAAATCGTGAAATAGATGCCAGCTCAACTGGGCGTGAAGAGATATGTGGTTCCGCTGAGCAAACTCGCGATCATTTCAATTAAAGCTCATGGCAGGCAACGTGACCTTAGGAAACACCCCTCACTCTTAGCCACGTGCCCTTCTCGGTGGTCTGTTATGCAGTGGCAGCGAACCTTTTCAACAGAGTTACTGAAAGTCACCTCACCCCTCTAAGCTTATGCTAATATTCGCCTCAGCTAAATATTAATTATTTTGACCCATGACATCGACTGTTTTCAAAACCTCGCAATATCAAAGCCTTACCCAAGGTTGGTATACCAGAGCCCATACCGCGTGTTCCGGAGGTCTCGCCCCCCCTCCCCCTCCCCCGTCAGTGGCTCACGCCCCTGATTATTAAGTCCTGCTCTGTAGTAAAGGGGGAGGCGAATGTGGTGACGGCACAATGATCAATGACATTGCGCCACCACCACCTTCCAGTCGATGGATCATGGCTGATAGAACAAAATTCTCCGAAGACCTCAGGGGCAGGACCTCCGAAACAGGCGTGTATGGCTGTGGCATGCCAACCTCGGGTAAGGCTCTAAACATTCTTAAAAATTATTTTGATTGTTAATTGCGAGGTTTGAAAAGCAGTCGATGCCATGGATCAATTTTCCTGTACCAGCAACGATCAATGTCATTGTACATTGTGCCGTCACCAAATTCGCCTCCCCGCTTGCTACAGTGCAGGGCTTAATGAGGGGCGTGGATCACTGACAAAAAGGGCAAGACCTCTGAAACACGCGTGTATGGCTCTGGCATACGAACCTCGGGTAAAGCTTTAAACATCCTCAAAAATTAGTCATTTTGATTGCTCGACAAAAAATCACTCTCCGGCGATAGCTTGCCATTAGTAAGCACGTGTATTACCGGACCCCTCGCTGATGCTCGAATTAGGCCTAGCATCATGCCACCGTAAAGCCGATCAAGCAAAGTTCTAATGCTTATCCATCGCACTCATCATATAGCACAATAGTGGCTCCTAACAACATACTTTAAACCTTTCATGAGTCTGTTATGTGTGCTTATACAGTGTAATACACGTATTTCGGCCTTGCATCCTCGTCAATTGCACAGTGCCTCTCGTCTGAGTTAATCCCTCGGGGGTGAGGGCCCCTTACATAGAGGAATCGTCGACGAGCCCCTCCTGTAAAGTGAAAATTTGCTTCACCAGCGGATTCACCCATCGAATGATAATTACTGCAATGTCTGGTTATCACATCAGTGGACATGCAGTGATACGTTAGCAGTGGGTGACGTGAATCTTCACTTCACAGACGGTGTAACGTGTTCCTTGAAGATTCCTCTATCTAAAGGGGCTCTTGCGCGAGAGTGATTGGCTCAGAAGGGTAATAAGCAACTGTCGAGGCTGCAAACCGAAATACGTGTATTACACCGTATAAGTGCCATAACAGACCTCGTGAAAGGCTCAAAATCTGCTGTCAGGATGAATTAATTTTAACATAGGTAGTAAAAAACAGTCGATTATAAAGGTGTTGGAATTTTTTTGCTAATGTCATGCACTTCTCAGTGTCTCCATATCATTCGAGAGTTTTAAGGGCAGTTATGATTGCTGCTATGTTCAAGAGTAGGCGATAACGGTCCTTACTCATGTTTTGTTCTCGGAAATGTGTCATGACCCGAGGCTCTGAAAGTTACATGACCCTAATTGGGTAATTGAGTGACTGCCTATGGAAAGATGCAGTGTTCCTCATTCAGTGTTTCCGTATTCTCTCTGTTTTCCCGGTAAGTTCATAACTGCAATTGATTGCAACACAATTACTTGATTTTTATTTCGTTTCAGTGTTTGAATTTTGAATGTTATACTGCGATTTTTTGTTGGTTTGCATGAAATCGATGCGACCAAGCTTTTTTTTCTCTGATTTAATTAATTTTCTTTACCTTTCATTTACATTTTTTCACTATTTAATTCTTTGTTTTCATTGCTGAATCAATCGTAATCCTTTTTTACTTCCTGCTAGCACGTTTCATACTTCTCCGTTTTCTCCACTCTGTTTCAGCCCTTGGGGAAAACCTGCCTTTTGATTTATTTCATAGTTTCAGTAATCGTTCGATAGCTTAAATTACGAAAATTCTGATGGTTACTCTATATTTACAATCTGACATGCACGACGAAAGAGAACATCAAGTGATTTCGTGTTCTAGAACGTGTTCTTGTAAATGTCTTCACCTTTTCAGTAATGATCGCCAATATCCAGGCAGCATTGAAGTTGATGATCAAAAGGTTTCGACTTTGTCAATTTGTTTTTCATTGGTGTAGACATCGGATCACACACTGGGTCGAATTTCAGAAAAACATGCTAATCCGTATCCGTTTAGAGATTCAAAAACATCTATTTTGCATCAAAAAAAACACGAGAAAGTCGCATCAAACGCCGTAAGGGCTCCTCTATCTACTATATTTCGTGGTGCTCATATTAACTAAATATTGCCAACACACTAGTGCTCATTCACTATCTGAGTGTCAAAAATTTTAAGTTTTTTTTTCATAAAGTTTCCTCTCTTACCCAAGTAGAT